GGAACCAGGCGATGGTTTTGTTCGTATTTTCAGTTATCGGAACGAGTGGGCGAGAGTTAAGTCAGGGGAATAGATCATTGTTTTCTACCGTACTTTCATCGACTTGCCATGCTTTGATGGAACCAGGCGATGGTTTTGTTCGTATTTGCAGTTATCGGAACGAGTGGGCGGGAGTTAACAGTCAAGGGAATAGATCATTGTTTGCTATCATACTTTCATCGACTAGCCATGCTTTGGTTTTTGGACAGGCTACCGACGAACGGCATATTAAAGGTCATTCAGCTGGGATGTACAATTTTTCGGGGAGCGGGATGTTGTCATCTGATGTAAGATCGCACGTATTCCCTGGGTTACTAAGAATCTCTGTGGATGCAGCTCACAGGCTATTCGAAGAGGATACCAGCCCAACAGGACGCCCCAATCAGGCATTGCGGAAGTTCGAAGCTTGGGAGTATGACGGAACAGGACGACAGCAACTTCCGGTGAGTTTGAGGAGACGTCAAATGGGATGACGTGCATTTATAGAGAGGATAAGGCTCAATAAATGCTTAAATATGGTAGGACAAGGGTAGATTTGTACTAGGTAGACTTGCAGTCAAGCAGGGTTGGGGTTGCTAATATGCTATATTAAAGCATAAGGTTTAGAGCAAACCGGTGTTGGTGCGGCTAGGAGGATAAAACGTATAAGTGTTGACGCGAGTGATATTCCGTGATGAGTGACGCATGTAAGGTTCTTGGGTTAGTCACTCAGCTTCTGTGTTCCACAGAACCAGGAATTTTTAGATCACTCGTGGTGGCACACGAAAACAATAGGCAGCGGACCTGTACTGAGACAACTTTCTCTGACTGCCGCCGCAACGAATAAATATGGGATGGTGGCATGACAGAGATTGCGTCGACAAAAGTAGGGCAAAATCAAGGGGCACCCTTCACTGCTGTAACGATGGCAGCAATGGAGACTCGGCTAAGTCAGATGCTGTCCCGAGTGATCTGTTCGCTTGGATGTATTGCCCATGGAATTAACGGATTCACAGATTGATACACAGGATCGAGGCTTTCGCCCAAGTTTCACGGGTTGGTTTTGTTCCTTTCGGTCAGTGGTTGTCGTTCACCTGAAAGGCACAAGTGAAACAGGGTGCAGTACTGCTCTTTATGTTCTCAGCGCGGGGCAGTATGGTCGCCAGCGCGAGGATTAGCACAAATAAATGTCTAATAGTGCTTAAAACTGGGTTCTAGAAGGAGCATGGATAACCGTCGGAAAAAGGTCATTCCGCGCAGCTACTACACGAAAGGAGAAAAAAATTGCCTAATGAATGTGTGTGCTCTGAGCTTGAAAATTTTCTTACTATGTCCCTGCCGTGGTTGCTGGGTCAGCGGTGAAAAAACTGCCAAGCTTTATTCAAACAGGGCATAGGTAAGAATTAGGTCCCCTCGGAGGCGACGGTACTCCAGGGGAAAGAGATCAAGCA